TTTTTCTTTTTTCTGCTTCTAACCTGTCAGGCTGACAGGTATGAGGCAAAAAGGCATATGATCGGCATCACACTTGTACATATGCACACACGTTGTAAGGCAAGTGTTAATGCTTTTGTGTTGGATGCTGATGCTAAACGACTGTGGCCACAGGCTGAATGTGTGCATCCAGTCTGTGTGCCAATGCATTTACATAACAGCGAAGCCTGTCTGGCCTCAGAGCAAATGTGCCTGTGCACAACTGAGACCATCAGGACCGCGCTGCAATGGTGCACACACATTTAAGAGCACAGCGACGTGCCGTCCACAGGATCCTCTTTTTCTGGGACGCATTTACAAATGTCTTTAAAAAGCTGAAAAACAATTCAATTTAAAGGCAAAGAAAAAGAGGAGGTTAACTCCAGTGTTCTTTTGAGAGAAGACTGGATATTACATGTCAATCAAAGAGCAGTGGGCAGGGAAGGCTGTCAGCGAGCGCTTCCTTCCTGTTAATGAGGGCTTGGGCCTCGGCGGCATGAATCCCTCGCTGCTACATTAACTAATGGCTTTCTCTGGGGACAGTTAACAAGACAAAACAATCTCACACAGCTTTCTTTTCAGTGAGGAACAATCAACCTAAGCAGTTACCATGGAAATGTCTAATTACATATGGTTGTTTACGGCCTTTAAAATATTGTGGCCCAATGCTCTGATTGGTCTTTTTTACTGTGGCTAGACTTTCTTAACTTGTTCAGCAACAGCAGCTGCAGCTCATTCATGGAGATTCGTCATTTCCCCATCTGTGCCCATTGGTAAAAAAAAAATAGCTCTATTCTTAATCTAGAATCCCACAACTCAACTCAACAAGGCAAACTGCGACCATACAAGGAGGTGTGCTGTGGCACCTCAGACGGATGTCACACCTCTATCACACATCCTTCCACTCAAACAGACGGTTGTTTCAGGTGGAACTGCAAGCGTCAACAATGCAAAAGCGATCGTTTTGCGCAGTTTTTCATGCATCGTTAGCTGGAAGGCAAACGTTCCTATTTGGGGTAAAAACATGATCTCCCAGACATTCCAGGTTTCAGTCCAGGTGCAGGCTTCACAGGCTGGGACATGTTTCTCAAACTGCACTGGTGGAGGGGAAACCCTTACCTGGGTGACACGGCCTCAAAAAGCACATTTTTCCAAACTTTGAACTCAGATTTAAACCTGTTCTGTAACTCTCTCAGCCAACACTGACAGCACTGGCTTGGTAATTACTGACATAAATCCTGCTCCACGGAGCCAAGAGTGTCTTTGGCTTTCTAACCCAGGACACGGCCACCTCTTTAATGAGCCCGAGGGGGGAGCACAAAGTTATGCATCAACTGAAGAGTCATTTACTGAACTCTGTTGTGAAGTATGATCACAACTTCATTTCCAATTCAGCATGAGCTTTGCTTTCATATGCAAAGACCAAGCAACAAAAGTTTAACTGACACAAATCATGACTCCTCAAGTTGTCCCCTCGGACAACCTTTACAGAAAAAAATATCTTCCAATCATAATGTATATCTAACTCTGTTTTCAAACACACACACATAATCAGATCATGACAACAGTGGAGGCATTAACTTTGACTTTAACATTAACACCCGAGAGCCACTGCAATCCTTATCACAGCCTTCCATTTCCCTAAACAGAGACTTCATAGCTGCAACCTCAAAGCTTATAAATATCAGAACTTTATTGCTCTTTGGTTACATATTAGCAACCCACACAGGGTCCATAACACAACAACCAAGCTATGGATTTGGTTGATTCTAGGGACTCTTTTGGCCTTCATGGTAAGAAACAGGCACACAATTAAAAGAAAACACTGTTAATATAGCATTTTGTTTCCTATATCAACCAACTATACAAAGGGCACAATTGGAGAGATGTTCAACCTCAAAAAAGAAGACAACAATCTGCAACTCCACCCATCCATTTTTTTATGCTGCTTATTCCCAACTGGGTGGTGGGGGGCTGGAGCCCATCCCAGCTGACAACAGGTGAGAGGCGGGGTACACCCTGGAAAGGTCACCCGTGCATCACAGGGCCACACACAGGCAAACAACCACACACACACTCTCAGTCTCAGTCAACATGGGTCATTTGTAGTGTCTACTTAACCTAACATGCTTGTTTTTGGATGGTGGGAGGAAACCCTGTGAAAACCCACGCAGACGCATTGAGAACATGCAAACCAAGCTGCAAACCGACTGGTGAAAGTCTGTTAAGTTGTCTTTGACTCTGTTGGGAAAATGCAAATCAGTTTTTTTACATTGCTGGATGTGCTCTATGATAATAACAAAAACCTAATACTTCTAACTCCCTGCTGTTGAAATAAACTGCACTGGCGTGCCCGGAGGCCATCGCTGGTATGGTTTTGGTACAAATAAGGAAAGCTTCACAACTCAAGAACTCTTGAGGACAACAGAATGTGGTGCAGTTCTGATGCTGCCTGGAACACTGCAACCTCTTAAAAAAGAACCTGGAAAATATAATAGCTAAATCTGGCAAAAAAAAGGCATTCTCCCGGTCTTTAATGTTGAGTATGTGCGTCTGTGTGTGTGTGTTTATCAGCCAGATCCTGCCGAGCCAGAAGCCTTAGTCCAGCCCTGACTACAGCAAAAACTTCTTCTTTTTTTTTATTTTCCTTCCAATAATCTTACAAAAACACCCGGGCAGAGGATGTTATGAAACAGGCTGTTATATTTTACAACTGCCCTTGCCTGACAGGGCTCCAGAGCTGCTGTTTCTATAAAAAAAAAAAAGGTAAAAAAAATAACTTTCCCAGGCTTTGTCAGCACAGCCTCTGTGTTTATGTCAAAGCATTCCTCCAACTCAAGTCAAAGCACAAGGACACGCTGACATGTGAATTTCAGCAGGGCCACTGACACGTTTGTCTTTCCATTTTCAAAGAAAAAAGGCAGAAATTTTAAAAAATGAATTTATAAAAATAAAAATAAAAAAATTAAAAGCCCCTGCTCACGACTGTGTTGAGTGGGCCACAGTAGAGGGAAAACTTCAATAAATCAATTAAATAACGAGCCTTTTCTTTCTTTCTTTCTCTGCTCAAATGTCAAATGACAACTGCAAACTCAAAAGTGTCGGGTGTTGTGTGACAAACTCACCCAGAAGCAGCAGTTTCACTTCCCTCGCCGCCTTCTCTCCATCTTCTCTCAGGTTTCTGTCAATCATTTTGGACCTCTCGGCCGCGGCTTTATCTTCCTGACTAACCGTACAGCCCATGGTTCCCAGTGCACGCTTCAGGTCTGCTGTTTAGTGGGGGGATATCACCAGGAGAAAAATGTTACGATGTTTCACGACCAAGTGAGCCGACTTTGTTTTTTTTTCGACGAGTTGTCTGTTCATTCGGAGGAGGGGAACGAAAATAACGAGAAAAAATAGAAAGAAAAACGAGCAATTTCCTTTAACGATGTTGAACCTTTCCACAAATCCCCCCCAAAAAAGACCTTTTTAAAAGAAAAACTCGCAGGCTGGTCGGTCAGTTGGTCAGCATTTGTAGTTTTTCTGCAGTCCGGAACAAAATTTTGGGGAACTTTTCTTGGCTGACTCGAAGCTCGTCCTCAGAGCGGGTCGAAACGCCAGAAAAACGAGCCACGAAGTTTAGCTCCGAAAACTATTCCAGCTGTTGAAAAAACGAGCGCACCGATCCCCGCCGACACTTAACGCTGCCGGACGCTCGCGCGAACACTTACGGAGGCTCTTTTTTTTCTTCTTTTTTTCTATCTCCAATACCTATTTGACACACATATGTATTGGTCTCAGTCCGCGCCGCCGTGGAGCATTTTCCTCTGCGTAGAGATTTATCACGTTTGAAGCCACACCCGAAGCCGCCGTGAAGTTCCCCTCCGACCGACGAACAGATAGACAGCGCCTTCACCTCCCCAGCCAGCAGCTGCAGGGCCAGCCTTCACCAGTTAAAACGGAAAGAAAAAAGGAAAGAAGAAAAAAACGCCTACCCCCGGTGTTTCTTGGGAAATGTAGTCGAAACGGTAGTTAGGGGAGAGGTGATTGGTCGGATGATTGCATTGGTATTTATACTTAACAGAAAATAGAAGGGATTGCAGGACTCTCAAAAACATTCATTTTATTCCGGATAGAAGTGATGAAAAGCATGATTGGTTACCTCTGGTGAACTGCAACCTGAATTGACAAATAGTGACACAGTTTGGATTCAATTCTAAAATGTCCCATATAATATTTTTTTATTTCATTTATATATTTTTAAAGTTATAAATAAATAAACAAACATTTAAAAAGTGACTGAAGTGATTCAAGCACTTTTCTGTTTTGAACTAAAGTGGTATTAAAAATAATGAATCTATCTTGGTTTGGAAATAAGAATTTCTGTCTCAGTGGTATCAAAACAACACTAACAAGAGTTAAATATGAAGAATCAATGGGTCAGATGTAGCAGCATTGATTGAAAAGCGGTCCATCTTAAGTAGGGAGCATACGAATACAACAATCAACTCGGTAGCCAACCCAAACTACATCATTCATTTCTGAAGTAGTCTGTAAGTGAAATTAAATCACATTGTCTGACAAACTCTTTCCCTCATATGACCTTATATGATGGCTCCAGAGGGACCTCTTCAGGACTGGCGTTGTCTTACAGATTTTTCCTCGACCTGACAGAGGCTGCAAACTATTTTAGTTTGTAGAAATTGTGTGTATTCCTGAATAAATAATTTCACACAGTCATACTATCATATAAATCTGACTGTTGTTTACAACAGAATACGATTGATAGACTGAAATTTTTAGGAATGTTACCATTCAAATTTCAAACAAACAACTATAAGGGTAGGCTGCTGCTATCGAGGAAACAGACAGGTGTGTGAGTAATAGACTGATAAAATAGTTTCAATTAATAAAACTACTTAGAATGCTTAAGAAGGTCCATTACAGTGGAAAATGATAAATCATATGACAAATTAAAAACAAAACAAAGTAATGTTACCCCATTATCTTTATTGCAACATTGTTTACAGTACAATAACTGCCAGCAACATATTAAAATATATAGAGATACAAGAAAATAGACATGAGTTGAAGGACAACCAGGTTTAAAAGCACTTTGAAAATTATTACATTTATATATTTAATTTGACTAAATCTTTAATTGCTATTTACAATATATAAACTAGATATGAATATAAAGGGTATACATTTATAATATATACATTATTTATAAATGCTGGCCAATGTAAATATTTAATATGTCACTATTCAATCATAGGCTTTTTCAGAAGTCCCAAACAGGTAGGCTATTAGGTCTCAGATCTAAATATAGGTCCTCAGAGATCATGTTGTAATCAGCCACTAACACAGTGTCCCTGTGCAATGTCATCTCATTCGATGTTTTGCTTTATTGTGAGGTTTTTGTGTGAGCGCATCACAAGGTATTTTATGCATGGCTTGATGCATAAAATACTTTGGCTTTGATACAGCCAAAAATCAAACTGCGAACAGGAAGTTAGGGATGAATGCAGCCTTCATTTCTATTAAGTGCCAATATATGCTTCAGTGGCTGATTCAGATGATTTCTTTGCACACAGTTACATGAAGACAATCAAATTTACAGATACAATACAAAATTAAACATGGATTAAAAGAGGTTTGTTGAGTAAGAAATAGGACAATACTCAGTCCACACAGCACTTAAAGTAGTCTGGTGTAAGACAACTTATTAGAAACAATGAAATGTAGGCAAATTCACCAGCTCATTAACAACTCCCAGTTAGTAGGTTACTGCCTGCTGAAGCAGCGAGGAAGACAGACAAGACCAAACTATACCACTGATGATAAATCACTGGTTATAAAAGACAAATGTAAGAAAAAAAAAACAATCATCTTGCATTTTCATCACTGAATCAGATTCACCAGATTACAGTCAAATAGACATTGAACATGATTTTTAAAAACAACAGTTATTCTATCAATGGTTGAGGACAAACACTAGAATTATACTTCTGACCGGAGCATAGGTGTAGGTCAAACAACACAAATGCATATAGGTACTACAGTTCAAATACAATGGACTCAGGGTTTCTTTTTTCTAAACAACAGAGACACTTTAAAACCTCCGACGGTACATCCAATATCTCAGTCATTGCATTTTAGGAGCAGACCAGGAGTATACTAATGATCACAGAGGCTCCCAGGGAAGCTAACTTTAATGGAATCATTTCAAGTAATATCTGACAACCACTGATACGTTACTAATTCACTACCTTGTGTTGAATAACTGATCCAGTATTTAGTCATACAAATGGGGCAAGCCCTGAAGTCACATCGACCAAATACATTTGTTGCTTTTCACCTCATTAATGGGTATATATTGTTGTGCTTATCAAAAGAAAGTGCTATTGCTAACTTCTTAATATTGTTAGAAACAGACTTGACATGTCTGTCATTAATGTTAGGGTTTAAGTTTGTGCTAGATTCTGAAATATTTACAGTCACCAAATTGACACCAACCACCTCAGAAAGTGACCCTGTTGTTGTTTTTTCACGCACGTTTTGGTTATCCATCTACCAGTAAATGATCAGAAACAACACTTTAACTCTTCCAGGAACAATGAATCATGTCTCAGTTAATCGGAAACATTAAAGCATCATTTGCTGTCGTCTCTTTGATCCATACAATCCAGTGGAGGAGGTCTTCAGTACCATTTCCATCTGTCATTTACATGGCAATACTGAAAAAGTAAAAACTCTTTGCACAGTACAGGCAACCTACACATTTTGTGATATCTGGACGGGTTGTAAAATGTTCCTCACTCAAACCTATCAAACGGATACTCCACCGCCACAGTTAGCATGCGCTGGAAGGCAGCTAATCAGCCTCTACTGCATCATATTAAGTTTTAATCAAGTAGAGACGAAAAAACACATCTAGATTTTATCGTGCAGGAATGTTATGACGAAAGTAGCCACTGTGCTCCACGCAGTGTAAATTTTTACACCAACACTGAGAGGTGAGAATGCTGACACCCCCCAAAACACTAAATAAACAACAGCAGCACAAGTTTGTGGAAAGGGGCCAAAAAGTGGCACACCGAAGGACCGAGTTCACATTTCCTTGAGCCTATTAAGCTGAGCTAATTGGCTACATACTGTAACATGCGCGTGCTGTCAATTTCCTCATTTAAGCCTCCCTGAGGGAGCGAGGAGGTGCAGAGCCCAAAAGCCACACTGCTCCTGCAACATATCCCTCCATCTTTGCAGTAGCTCTCATACTTTCACTTTCCTCTGGAGAGACAGATTGTGGGAAATATGTTGCTACTTGAATAACTTAGAATAATAATAATGAGAATTAGAAAGATAGAAATAAAAATCATAAAAGTATTTATCAATACGTTTCATTCTGAGGTTGAAACTTAGGCGCCTCAGGCTGTGTGTGACAATCTAAGTAGCATTTTGCAGATCAGACAGTGAGAGCAGCCGAGCGCTTTACACAGGTTGCTTAAAGATAGCAGCTTTCTACATTGTTGCTTTTCTCTTTTGTGTTTTCTTTTTACTTCTCGCAAGGCACAGCCTCCACGCGTCACCATCAGTCTTAACACGCCTGGTCTCTGAGGGACTTCACTATCAGCTCTTCGAGAAAATTTACCGGCCTGGATCGGCAGTCATTGTTTGGCAGGATGTGCAGTAACCTGTATATTAACCTCAACAGAGTGAGAGCGTTTGCAGAGGAGCAAAAAGCCACGCCACACTATTGTCTGTGGCTGAAATTCTCTAATGGAAAAGACAGGGAATCTTCAACACAGATGACTGAAAGTAAAAACAGAAACATTACAACACAGATCCAAATCAACAATATAAAACCTGAAAAAAGGAAGGTGCCTAGTGACCACTTTTGGGTTTACTGGTGCCTGATGTCCAATCAATGATGATAAAGCTGAGACTCATTATCATAAACAGGAAGCCGATCCCAGCAAAACAGGCAGCCTGCAGGAGAAACGGCAAACAAGATGAAGTCAGCAACAGAGGAGATGAGGGGGAAGCATGGAAATATCATGATTTCTCATGATTGCTAATTTACCATTTAAAAAAAATCTGACAATACAAATATAAAAATAACTTTTTGAATAGAATCAGGAGAAAGTTTAGCTCAGTTGTCCAGGAGAGTGTCTAATTCATGGTTACACAGTTTCTAAATGATTAATAGTATGTGATTAGTTTAATTTCTTGCCATGTTCATCACTTTGAATTTCTGATAGCTTTACTTTTTTTTCAAATAAAAAAATTGTTTGTGTATTCATTTGACTACGGAGCAGGAAACAAATACTCACACTACCTGACCTATAAACTGAATATACTGAATTCAACAAACAAACTGTTTCTCATTGACTTTCAAATGATGCTCACCAGGATTTTGGGTGTAGAGCGCAATGGCTCCTCTTCTTTGGGTACAATACGAATGTAGAAGATAGCAGGGAATATGAAGATGAGGCAGGGGGCTGACGTGGCACCTGTAAGGGGCATTTGCAGAGCATTAAATTATGCAGGAGACAAGACCTCATTAATCCTCACTCCCTTCAGGTCTCATTATGTCCTGAGTGTGATGGGACCATGGTGAAACCAAGTCAGATATTAAGCTTTTCTACACAGAACAGTGGTGAAAGAAATAACAACATTCAACATTTACAAGTGAGGAATAACAATGCTACATTTTTGCTAAATATCTCGGACTCCATTTCCTTATGAGACCTTTATCCATTCATATCCTTCATTAGAGTACTTCTCACATTATCAAGTAGGAATTTGGTGGTCAGTATTTTTCAAATTAGGTTCAAAACACCCAGTGACTGACAGCTCTTCCTCCTGAGCCAAAACCACTCCAAACATTTGCATTTTTTAAATACCTGACAGCTTCCAATTAAACATCTCATTTATTTTGAACTGTACCTTTGTACCTAATAAATTGCACCACTGTTTTTAAACTCTGTTTACTTCCTGGACATAACTCTTAAAAGGACGACATGAAAGAGGCTTTGGGTCCTATGAGTGAAAAAAAAATCACCTGATTCTCTACTGATCATGCCCTCCGCTCATCGGACACTGGCATCTACTCTCCTAATGATCAAATATTGCTTTACCACATTTCTGTCTGCACCTGTCACTCTATTCTGTCACATTCCTGTTTCCCAGCCACTAATATGAATAAATAGATAGAAGTACCCAGGACACCAAGCAGGAACAGGTCAGCACAGTCATTTTTTTTTTTTTTTTTTTCCCCCACTGACTAAAGATAACTTAATTATTGTAAAAGCATCATCTGGATGAGACAATATTGTTCAAGATTTTTCAGCTCATCTCTATACTTAACCGAGCTGGTAATTAAGTTTGGTCTGAACTGTTTAATGTCTTTTTTCTCCAAAAGCTGCTTCATCTTACCGATAATCCCAAAAATTCCAAGAATGTTTGGGGCGAAGATGACCAGCAGGTTGATGAAGGTGAGGAGAACGATGGCAATGGCAATGTGACGAGGCCAGTTGAAGGTTTTGTTGGGAAACATCATCTGCTGGATCGCTCTTCGTACCTATTAAAGTAAAAATAATAATTTTCACTGCATTTTTTAATTCTGAGCAACATTTCATGTTAAGTCTGTGCTTGAACTGTACGTTTAGAATCTATACTTACAGGAAAGAGCACAATTGGTACTGTGAGTGTCACAGCGGTGAGTACAGCCACACGCACACACAATATTAAGGTGTCGTAGGGATCAATGCGACTGTAAGTGTGGAGCAGCTCTGCTTCCACTTCACCTGGAACCCAGGAAAACAGGATATGGATTAGGTGTCAGGACTAAAGCAAATCAATTAATTACATACCGGATAGGTCATTACTAATGTGCAAGTGTTTAATTCACGACCATCCACGTGAGCAAAATGACCACCAGAGGGCAGAGTGGACCATGGAACTTCATCTTAAATGATGGACTAGTTCTAGCACACTTTTTACCCAATTACTGGTGCATTTCACAGTTGAGAACTCATTCCTGATGAATTATTTGTTCAGGGTCCAATTTTCTCAGAGATATGTTCACTTTATGAAGGACTATTATTCCTTCAAGAAATGATTTATTGTTAATTAAAATGCTTACCTTCATGTTGAACAAAATGTATTAAGCCGGTGTTCTGCTGAATACTTAGCCTCCGAAACATTTTAGAATAAGGTGATTCAATAAAGTCTATATTCTCTCTGTTACTATTTTTATCTTGAGTTTGAAATAATAAAAGAAAAGCTCTCTCTAAATGACAGAGGACATGGAGAACCCAAAGGTGTCGTTGGATGTCATTTGTGATATCTTCTTGTCACCTAAAGTTAGTGTGCCACTCTGACTGCAACCATATGTGACCTTATTACAACTGTCTATATGTGCAGGCAAATTAAACAACTAATTAATTTCTATGAAAGAAAATTCAAATCATTTCACTGCAACGACTTCATCATTTTCAAATTAGTTTCACCATCTCAGTGTCTGATCCTGTCCAAAACCTGTAACAACTTACCTTTTACCTCCATATCTCACAAGGACATCTCAATTCTCCTTTCGGAACTGTATATTATTATGCAAACATGGAAAACATCCAATTGGCCAGATTAGCACTATCTTGCTGGCATCTCCCGTTACCATGTTAACAAAAAAAGTGGTTGGGGCATATGTTGACTTCGAACCAAGGACATAACAGCAAAAAAAAATCTGATACTGTACAGATCTTGTAAATATGGTCACCCTGGCCAATATTCTTGGCATATAGCTATATTAGCAAGTGGATCCACAAGTGATGGGTGCAAAGACAAAGAAAACTCTAACTGGGTGAAAACAAGTATTTCCACTACCATTTTGAACAATTTATAACGTGGAATGTAGTTCTGTCCACAGTTTTCCAGATAGGTTGACATGAACAATAGTTACCCCACATCTGTTATTTAGTTGAATTAGGGTGGTAAGATTTAAAGTTCTCTATTAAACTGTTAAACTGCTTATTGTACATTGTGTTTCTATGAAATCCAACATGTTCTGTCATTGTCTTTTTTTCTCCAATGAACGCATGTCTTGTTTTGCAAGAAATGTACCAAAGTTACAGAGGAAAACTGAATATTTTGCTATGAAAAAAAGCATAAAAACATAAAGAAAGAGGTAGAGGGAAAGAGATGGAGGAGGACCAGGCCTCACCATAAAAAGTCAGGTATCCAAAAAGAGCAGCCAGGAAGTACATGATGTACATAACTGCAATGGAGATGTTGGACACATGCTGCATCTTTTTCTTGGTAGGACTGAAATCAGAAAATATTGCCATGTGATGTCACAAACACAAACAAATATAACATCATGGCATCAAACGTTGAATGATGTCTGAGCCTGCATCTCAGTCAATACAAATGCCGTCCTCAGCTGTGCGGCAACCTTTCTTCAACGACTAAGCAAAGTCTCAACAGCAAATCTGAAATCAACCCCGTAAAAAGAACGATGGTTCAAAGCAGGATGATGCATTTAAGCTAATAACATGCTACGCAACCCAAGCAACGCAGACAAACTTAAAAAAAGTGAAAGCAGTGTGTGTGTGCGTTTTATGATCAGCCAAGCACAAAGCAGACATCGCAGCTTCTGTCCTTGTTATGCAGCTGATTTCTTATCCAGTACAGAGTTAGCAGGAGTTTTCCATTATGAGAACATACTTGCGCAGTTCTGTGTAGATGGGGAGGACCTCTGGGTGGCACACAAAGGCGAACGCCAGGATGGGGATGGTGTAAGCCGTCTGCAAATGAACTCCAACAGGTCACCATAGATACAGCAGTGCCATCCCAGATGTCTGACCACCAACTTCACGCTTTATTGCTCATTAATCCCTCTGATACGTCACAGAGAGCTAATTGTTTCCTTGTGATTAACTTGGGCCTGGCAGCAAACCTGCTTTATCCTATTTAGGACTGAAAGGACTGGACCCACTGTCTTGAATAGAAAAAAAACACCTATTTCAAGGATGCTGATGAAAACTCGATAGTATGTCATAAAAGAAGAGTGAAACTGCACAAGTTCAAGTTTAAATATCTCAGAATTGTTGAGAAAGTATTTTCTGTGTTTTAAGGACAAAGCTACTGAGAAAAAGTCCGACCCAAAGGCCAAACCTAATAGTGTCACTGGTTAAATCAAGTGCCAAAGTAATAGCTGCTTCTTATTCAGAGCAAGGTTCCCGATTAATCTAAAAGCGTTGGTTTAATGGCCATCAACGACTTGCCAAAGGTCCTTAGCTGCTCTTTCCTGTAACTGAGTGTTTCAAACCAAGATTACCATGCTTGGGATGTGAAGACAGTCTGGCAACATGCTGATGACTTAAGTGGTAGGCTGTCAGTGGCCATAGCAGTGCAGGACGCCTTGTGTTTTTACAGTGAGCGAGTGGCATGCGTAAACCTACTTGTGAGTTGAGGTTGGCCATCTTGGGAATGCAGGCGGGATCAACCTCCCCACCAGGGTTTGTGACACTGACATTCATCACACTGGAGGTGCCGTTTAACGTAAAGTCCACAAACGGACAAGGGATATTGAACTTCTTGTAGATGACCTGAGCAGTGCAGAGATGAGAGGCGTTACACAGGGGAAAAAAAGGCTGTGGGACACTGTTATTATGCAAAATATGTCACAGAGAAAGACCGAACTGAGAAGAAAAATAGAAACGAGAGAGGGAGAGAGAGCAATGAGTGGATTACAGCTCATGCACCCAAAACTAGGTCACAGAAACACAGAGAACCGGCACAGCCTGGAACTGCGGCATGCAAACATTGGGCCGTGGCAGTGAATAGACAGAGTGGGGAATACTAAAGAGGTGGTGTGAAGGTCCAACTGAATTTGGATATGCAGTTAACCAAAACTTGAGAAACAGGACTCATTGTACTGTACTCAGTTTTCACTTTTCTGTATGTAAATAAAATGATCGGAAGAAGACTTACAGAAATTAGGAAAAAAACCATGCAGCTCAGTGAGAAACCACTGGTGTATCCCAGGTATCCTGAAATATAAACACTTCATTAGCATTTCAGCAGAAACAACATGCTCATGTTCGTTCTAAATGTAATATCTACCATCTCTTCGATGGCTCTATTACCGTGCTAAAGTGCTGTTTCTCCATGCAAATTTACCTTCCACTGTGTGAAAGACTAAGAGTGACTTAATGTGCATGGAGCTCATTATTGGACTCTGACTGCATCGACTGACTCTGTTGCTCTCTGTGTCTCAGCAGGAGACAGACTTCTTACAAAAGGTCAGCCAATACGCCTCTCTTTCTTATTTCCAAACTGGATTTCTCTTTTTTTGTTTCTTCTATCATTTATTTAGTTTTGCACCTTGTGAAACATTCTTGTGACAGACACATAGCCAGATAAGTGAAATCATATCAGTCTCGCAGTGTTAACAGTTATGACAACATAAATACTGAAATCACATATCAAGGAACATGTCAGGACAGGAAACTGACAAAGGAATAACAAAAGAAGACACCACAAATTAAACTTTAACTTGACTCACAAAACCAAGTTAGTAACATGTGAATACAAACGGCGTTAACAAGTCAATAAAAATGCACATTTCCACGGATAGGTTGAAGATCCTGGCAATACAATACTGAAGGTTGTGTAAGAATAAAATCAATGATTGGTTAACATTTAGAGAGTGATAAAGAGCCTAATACTGTGCATATGAATTAGACTGTCTTATTTAAGCAAAAGGCCAAGGTTCGAGCCTTGACGGGGAATGACATCTCTGTAGATTAAGTGTCCTTCAGTAAATCTGCACACAAAATCCTTTTACTTCATCCCACTGTCAGCCTGTAGCTGCTGAATGATGTGAAGCAGCATGATAATAAGCCAAAAAAGGTACAGGGGATTTAAAACATTTAGGAAATGACAACATAAACTTTCATTTTTAAACATAAAGGCATTACCTTCCAGTTTAAAAGATAAATGTGAAATGTGATATCTGGTAGAGAAATCCCAGATAACAATTTACCTGCCCCTGCCTTACCATTGTCCACCACATTAGAGTCTGATGGATTAATATTGAAAGACAAAAAATAGGCCACAAAGACAAAAAAAAACCTTCTCGACTGCCAGTGTCTGGGGCTTTTCCCACTGACTTTCTGCAGAAATATGGCGGGAGAATGTGAAGAGCGTGGACTACATGTAAATAAATAGCTCAATCTAAGCTGACAATAAAAAAGGCAACTACACTGACATGAATGTTGTGTTGCATTCAGAACCTTCAATGTGGTTCACTTTTTTGCCCGCAGCTAAATATTTGATCACGCTGAACAAACAATCTGTTAAAGCAAGACTATTTAACAAAAAATAAAACATACACAAGGCAACATGCTGAAGTTTTCATGCACTTAAACAGTTGATCATTTGAGTGATGTGAATAGACTAGAATCCCATGTGGCCCCTGAAAACAAACTTTGATAACACACACTCACCTAATTGTTTCATAAGAGCCAATGGCAATATTACTGCCACAGAAACAATGATGACCAAATAGTTTCCATTCAGGAACCATTCACTGTGGAGAGACAGACAGACACAGGGGAAATAATTTATTGATTTGAAGTTACTCATCATTAACACTCCTCTCAATCTCCCTTCAGTTTCACTGATTGGCTATTTGAAGGGGAATTAAGGACAAGGGTCACAATATCGGAGGGAAAATGGATCGTGTTATATCTCCACAACTATGCCAAATAGTACTCGAACAGAAGTGAATACAAATCAAACCCAGTTGGCAGACAATCAGATATGGAGGATGGAAAAAAAAGCGTCTTTGCTGTCTTGGGCACGGGACACAAAGGACTGTCGCTGTAGCCAGAACACAAAAGTCATGACCTATGAGCATAGCCTAAATTACTGGATTTAATGTTGAGAGGTTCTCAATGAGAAGCTTCATAGTTGCCATGATGGAATCTAGTTAAGTCAGGATTAAAAAATCCAAAACATCTTACGAAGTCTAAAAAACATATAAGCAGGTTCAATCAAAATATGACACGAAGATCTAGGGGTAAAGCTTATATATATTGAAGTCTACCCATGCTTTATTATTCACTTTGGGCATCTAAGTTGTACTTGCATCATTGTATCAACATGAAATGTATCTAGATTTTATTTTGCTTTGTTACCAGATATCACAAAAGTGTGCAATTGAAACATAATCGTTTTAAAAAAAATAATATATATATATATACTGTGTATATATATATATAAAAAAGTCTGCCGTCACGTTTACTTCTACTATTGGAATATATAGTCATGACACACTGCTTTTCTAAAGACAAAGATCAGACAGGAAAACCTCGACTCTTGAGTGGAGAAATAATGACTAACTCTTGTGTCAGCCCAATGTTATTAAATCCAACTACCAAACTAAGAAATGACACCTTTCCCTGAGTGGAACAGATTAGTATGACACAGAGACTCCACTGACACAACCAACCACATGTCTAGGAAAGAAGCATCTAAGTTATTTTTAGAACAGTGCAGCAGGGGTGATTAATTTTTTCGTCCTCTGTCAGGTGGGAGGCTCAGAAAGAAGCAGCATCTGTTGCAGCAAACACACACGCGGATAAAAAGAAGGACAATAATAATAATATTAATAATAATAATGATAATAATAATAATAATAATAATAATGATAATAAGAAGATGGAGTTCATCCACCCTGTTGTCTACTACCCCGTGGCAATCTGGCACAAAGACACAGTCTCTAACTCATGCCAACATGTGTGATCACAAATAATCACTACAAAAACCTTTACAAACAGATTCATATCCAGTTACAGTCCATAGTTACTGTCTGGTCAGCTGAATGGTTGAACAAACAGACACAGCCTTTGGGGATCTGTAGTTAATGAGCTGAACAGGGTCAGATTTATCAAAGACAACACATCCATAAACACAACCAGACACATGTGACTACACATGCAAAGAATGGAAAAAAACAACAGGAAACTGTATTTAAATTACCATAAACATTTTATAAAATTGTCTTTTTGGATCTGATGAAGTGTAACTCCATTCAAGTCAGTAGGAAACAACTAAATCTCAGTGCAACAAAACAACACCTAAACACTCTCTATAAAATCAGTTCAATAAACACTTTCTAGTGCCCTGATATCATGCTTTAACTGTTTTCTATTTATTACAGCATTTGACTCCATTTGTTTTAATACGACTGCTTGTGATTGAGCAAAACCACTGCCCACAGTGGCAGGATGAAATGCCACTGGGACAGCCCAGGTTGTCATTTCAAATAAACACAGAGTGGACAATGGTCCACCGCACTGACACTGCTGCACAGAGAAAACAGGCTGGAACCAGAAAAATGTGCGAGCACGATGACGCTGTATATCATTTCTATTACCTCATCAGTGCTAACATTTATTAGCAGGACATGATGGAAAAGGGAACCTGCACAGTGAATGCTCTTATATTTGAACTGTCACAATAGAAAGTGGACAAGATATTCACTTTAAAGTTTCCATTAGCTTATTTGTCCATTTTAGACAAACATGACAATATCATACATCTACTCCTATTTCTCCCCATACTCCCCGTCCATCCTTAAAAAACAAAAAGTAGATGAAGAAACTTTCTAACTGGGGTAAAATCACACTCACAGCCCATCCAAGATAGTGAGTGCTGTTTATCTCCAAGGCCACAGGGTACTGATATCCCACGGCTTACATTTTCAGCTGTGGAGTCTAGCTGTGTTTTGATGCGAGTGTTCTCGGTGGCCGTGCCGCTCTCCTCCTCTGGGGTCACTATAGCAGCTGTTCTCACACCAGCTGCTCAGAAATGCATCCCACCCCATTTCTGGCACAGCTTGATAGGGCTCTTCTGCAGATGCTTAAACCATTAGACATGTAAGGATAATGGCAGCATGAGGCCTGCATGGATGATGGACCTTTTGGTACCATGAGTACCTTTCATTCCTGGAGGGGCGCACTGTTTTGCAGATGTGACTCGTACCAACTTACATATTTTTTCAGCTGTTCCTCCAAGGCAAAATAACCTCATTGTCCTTCCAAATAAGCTCTAAACATACTGTATGTTTCACCCATAGTGTTCCACTTTGACATTGTTTAGTGACAACTTTCAAATAAAAAACAGAAACAATAATAAAGTATTCGTAAAGGGCAAACAGAATTGATTTTAAAGCCTCATTTAACTAACAGTCAGTCATTTTTACAAATGCATATGTGTGTCCAGTGGGTCTGAAGACACACACACTCTTATAGTTAATATACAGAGTTCTGCAGTTTACACTCAACTAACTCCTCTGAGTTAGACATGTGACCATCTTGACCTTGGCTTTGTCAATTAAGAAGGAGAAACACTATTTCTTTCCCAGAATTCCAAAGACGACTTTAAAGTGATAAGAGGCATCTGTTCTGTTGGAACATTGTGACCAAATTTCTCTGCCTAGCTGATTCTTTGAAGTTATGTAGAACATGTTCGAAAAGGAGTTTTGTTTTTAGTGTTTAAAACTTGTGATTCTTGTGGAATCTAACATTTTCAAAAATCAAAAACATCCCCCAAGCACGATCTTATTACCAACCCTTATAGCCAGTCGGAACAACATCATCAAGGTTGAATGCCTCAACTTTACACCACCAGATTGTCGCTCGCAATCCCAGTTTAGTTGAACATCACTGTTTTCCAAATCTTGTTTAATAGTCGGTCAATCCGTTGAGTGGGGTCAAATACATTTTGGCATAGAGAAACTGTATGCTGCAGCCACATGATCACTTAGAATTAGTTATGAGACCACAGCAAATGGAAAGGCATCTTGTAGGTTTCAAATATGCTTAATAGATATATACTTAAATATACTTCACTTACCCTGCTGGATTGTCTACCTTCAGAAACGCCTGGATGACCAGAGGAAACTCATATTTCACTATGTAAAGGTAACTGGACATAGCTATGGAAGAAAAACATATAGACAAAAAGATTAAATTGGAGCATAAATCAACATGTATCCCTGGTACATAAATAAATAGAGTCCATATTAATCCCAGCCAGGTAATGAAAGAATACTAGAGGCAAGACCCCAGAAAAGTCAGATTAAATTGTTTAAACTGCCTGCATTTGCACACGTGAGGACAAATGTTAGTGTGTGACCTCACCTCCAATGTTCTGCAGCGTGATGGCAATACCCGCTGCCATCTTCCCCGGGGTCCCAAAAGCTCTGTAGCCAAGCTGCTCATATGCACGAATGCCTGCGCCACAACCACCACAACACAAAAGAATATATCACTCCTGAACCAAATCCATTCTAATAAAAACGTGCACTGTGAAGTGATAAATGATCATTTTTCAATGTTGGCAAAGTGGTTTGGATAAGAAGTTGTTCTCCAATTGTTATCAGCTGATTTAAAAGATATCTTAACTATGTGCAAACCAAGCATGGCAGATGGTCCAGGTGTTACATACCCACAATACCAGATGACTTTAACAGTAGATGGATGGAATATGATGAAAGGACTGCCACCACTGTAAGGAGTGACCTGAAACAAACATAAGACACAATATTACCACGTATAGCTAATTCCTACAGGAGAAAACCGGTTATGATCTATACGCTGTATTTCACCCTGTAAGCCCTTTCTACAGCTGGAGCTTTTGTTGCCTAGACTTCAGTGGGAAACCCTGTGGCTGCACCTCACACCAGATTGTTAGTCCAGCTGAGCCACAGGGGCTGCCCTGTCATCCCCTGCCCTCTGTCACAGTGACCAATGCACAAACAAACAGATTGCAAAAGGAAAAAAATCAATAGAGTGCTGAAATTGACCAAATTAGAGAAAGCGATCTGCAAAGATTTCACCCCATAAAAAATTCTGGGCCTGAGAGTTTTCTGAATGGGCCACTGATCTAATGGTTACCTCACACCCATCCACCTCTTTTCAACTATTTGTTCTTTTGCAACATTAACTTTTGCCTTCACACACACTTCACCATCTGAAAGGCCAGGCAGCCTTGTCCTTTACCTCAACTTCAACTTTTGGCAAGAAAATAGCTTTTTTTCCCCCCTGTTTGGCCTTTTCTCTCCATCCAAACTTGGTTAAAGAATGGCTGGCTCACAACTACGAGTGAGGAGTTTGTCAGTCAAGTGGTGGTGGGAGCACAAATTTGCTGACGGTCAGACCGACTAACACACTTGGGTCACTGTAGCTCTCCTCATAGATTTCCACCCAACTGCATTCTTACCTAGACCCAGACCAGTGACCCGCTGATCTGCACCCACAAACAAAAGTATGAAATATCCACCATCATGCAACATGGAAACAGAAACAAAAGACTATACTTTATTTAATCTGCACACAGCCCTTTTTCCCAACTTATCGCTAATATTTTTTGGAAGCAGGGTTGTTGGGATATTGTGTCAGAAGTGTACACAAAATCAAATATGACTGCATAGCTGCCTGTCAAAGTTTTCAGAGTACAACTTTACTGTCTAGTTATGGTTATTTTCTACAGGTTTTTAACAATTTTAATAACTTACATAAGCTCAGAAGCACTATTTCTAGTCAAGCATTGTTAGAAAATATGTTCCATTCCAGCACCTACAAATCCAAGTTTTTATAAGAAGCGTCTAAATGTAATAAAATGAAGCTCCAGTCATCGCACATTTCTTGCATCGTTAATTTTGAGAACTATAGATTATGTTAATTCGCTAATTCTGGATGCCTTGTTAGAATTTATTTTCCTATTTTTAAAATAATTGACATTCATATTAACAAGAAAGTCTGTAAATAACTTTTTATAGAATGTTTATAGAACTTCAGTGCTTTAAACCCAAATCTCAGCTCAGAGTAAGTCCAGAATTTTTCATACCATCTGTTCTTAACGACAAGGAAAAGAGCTTAGCAAAAGATGATAGGAGATTAGGGGGTGAGGCGGATCCCTGAGATGTTTTGTTCAGGCAGTGTTAAGACTAGATGAGGGGAATCGTCTCTCAAATCAGTTCGCTGAAAATTGCCTAAGTCCGAGAACAGATTTAGGAAAATGAAGTCTAAGTCTAGAAGTGAAATGATGTCTAAGTTGAAAAAGTGCACAGCATCATCCAAAGTGTTGCATATCTTCTATCAATCAGTTACTGACTAAACCTAACTCTCTGAAAATACTGGAGTCCCTGATTGTAAAATGAGGAACTTTGTACAGTCAGCATGATCAGATCCAGTCCTATGAAACCTTAAACGGTACTGCTTTCATCTTAAACACTGAGCATACTGAAACATATTTGACTGCAAGATTTTCTTTAGTTATTAGTACATGGGCATCAACAATGACGAATAAAGTTAAATGAGGCATCTTAATAGACATCATAAAAGCTCAGTCATTTCGCAAATTGTGAGTTAGAGTAAACGTCTCCTGCAGCCAATCTGTGCAATGGAACATGAGGGAAAAAAACAACACTACAAAACACTAGCCTTTTTTAACTGCAGCATTTATTTTGCTTTGGCACACACTGTCCCATCTTTCGTTGTGTGAACATGTCTGAATTACATATTGGTCTACTGTCTCTGGGAGGAGCAGGGCCTGCGGGACAGAATGACTCAGCATGGTGGCAAAAAGGCAAGGGAACAATCACAGGCCCGAAGTCCAATGTGGAACACAGAAAACTTGCTGCTATTTCATTGCCAAATATGTCACTGTGTTGCTGAGCTGCTATTCTACAGTATCTCTATACAAAGACACAACCTTTCATCTGTAGCAGAATGGATAGGATCATTCTTTTGGTTGCAACCCGAAAGTGTTAATGCCCTCTCCTGTCTAGCAGTGTCACAGACGCTGATGTTTAGAGACAGAGAGTTCAGTGAGTTCAGGTTGCAAACAACTAGAAAACCTCAGTCACACAACTCAGATCAAAATAAGGAGCTTTTTCTTCCTAGAGGAAAAAGCCATCAGACATGACTGCCTAAAAGAAAATCTTTGAAAAGACCTTTTAGGATGGTAGTTGTGTATACAAGCAGATTTGAGTTTGTTATAGAAGCATCAAAACACACCTTCACCTTTTACTGTTCGTTTTCCATAGAACAATTGAGCCCATATTCTTAATAATACTAACTAAACTGCCTGGATTACACAAGTGGTGTACAGGTAAGAATGAAATCTATTCATTTTCAGAAAAGTTCAAGCAGTTTCACTACTTGCCACCTTTCAGCGGAGCAATATAATGAAGAGGTGTCAAAACAAGAAAGACGAATAACTATTCATGCTGCCTGATATATGGGGATACATTTCCCTGTAGAGAAGCAATGGCAGGAAAAATGCTCAGCATCCCCGCTTCAAACCACACGTATAAATGAGTTAAGGCCTACATGGGCAAGCCTGTCCCTGTGATATCATGTTATTGTTTTGCCTTTTAAGCTGCAGTTTTGGACCCCAGAGCCCCAATATGTCCACGCGGGATCCTGCTGCCATTTATCACGTCTATGTCCTTTTCCTGCAATTCCACAAGGATGCATGAGTATTAGCTAGCAGTCTAGACGTGCCCTTGAAGGCTGCAGATTCGGATGGGTTGGACTTCAAACCGTCAGGAAAAGGAGAAAAAAAAGCAAGAAAGCAATTTGCAGCTTTTCGAGCAGTTTGTGTTGATGCTGGTGATGTTTAATGCATTTAATCTCTTTAATTTTCTCATCAAATATATGCTGCTAATAATATATGACAATAAAGCTATTGCTGAATAGTTCAAATCATTAAACTGATGTTTAAGTAATTTAGAGAGACTGTTAAATGTTACACTGCATATTCAGTATGCAGGTACTGACAGGCTGAGAGCAGTGGATCAGTCACAAAGGAACAAACAGTTATTTTCTGCCCCTGTGACTGGAATTGCACTTGCTTGTCACACAAGTAAATTATGTCTAGAAAGCTATAAACAAGGGTCATTATTTTCCCCATCAAAATGCACCCAGTCTCATTAGTTTCTTAATTCTAAAGAAGGTTTGCTGCAGGGCAAGTTCAAGACGATGCATGCACAAGTAGGTGATACAGACATGCTCTGGAAACCCTTTGAGGGCTGGAAACAGATCCCATTTCAGGTGTTAATGAGTGACTTACAGAAACAGGACAATCCCTGTGTTGGCCATGGCGTATGCAAGTCCCAGAATTCCACTTCCCATAATGGCATTACCCAGGTTGAAGACAGACATCCCAAATGAGGTTTTTCCTTCAAACTGCAACCAAATTCATACAGGATTGCAAGCGTTTTTTGTTAACATCTTACAATATGCTCTTTAACTATGATCTAAATTTTAGTAATTTATTTTCACACTTAAACTTACATCAGTAAAACGGGTCGTCTTCTTGTCCTCCACAGCTGATAAGAATTCCTGGCTCTCTGGAAGGTTGGATTCTGTGTTTTCAGTTCTGTGGGGACTAAAAGTTAAATTGGTGTCACCACACAATAAAACAAAGCACTAAAGATGCATCCCTTCATTTTTTACCAGAGCAACCTCAGTTTAAATTTCAGTGCTTATTTCCTCATAAGACATAACTTCAACAGGTGGCACATAATCACCTTGAAACGCATTGGCTTCCCATCACTGTAGCATACATACCTAGCATTCTGAGCACTATTGGCTACTGTTTCTCTACAAGCAGTGTAGAGAGGGGTCATCCATCACCCAGCGAGAGCACAAAGTGGAAAAACAGCAGTCACAGTCATAATATAATAAGAACATCAACAAGGACATTTATAAATAATCACCTCTATACTGCAGAGAGAAGCTTTAATTAAACCATCTATTACACCAACCGAGCTGACAAAAAAAAAGGGGCGATCTGACATGATAATTAGGCAGTGACTACAGTCCATTATCCAGCACTAGCTTTACACAGTACAATATCAAGATTCAAAAGCTGGTCCCAAAAACATACAGATGCTCTGTCACCCAAAGCTGCCCCCTGAAGGAGTCAAGTGCTGCATGTTTGCACCCGCAATTCAGCCCCCCTCGTGAAATCCACATTTTTGTTGTGCCACGTTGTTGTGTGCAGTGACAACTGTCATGACATCTAGGGTAAATTCTCCATTTTAAACATATGTGTTTTAAAATGTGGAAGGAGGCCAAATTAGCCTGAATATTCAGACAGCATAGCCTTTCACAGTTATCGTCCAAAAGTAAAGCATAAATGAGCCATTACCCTTAACAGATGACGTGCAAAAATTAGTAACATTCAAGGTTGAGATTTTAATTATTGTCCATCACAAAAGGCAAATAGGAAAGCTTCTAACCAACAGTACATGGCACATATCACACAAGCTCTTAATAAATGGAGTGTCTTTAGCTACTGAAAGTCATGAAACAAACGGCATCCCAATAAATCTAATACAGTGAGGAGTTTTTCAAGATGCTCTGAATAAAAGCTTGCCAAGTGGCATGAAACGTGGACAACTTGGGATGCAGATGCTGAAAAGGCAGATGGAAGTCAAATATCACTTGAGCCGGGGCTGTTTTTTTACCTACTGGCAATATACTGTATAAGCTCTTATTTAAATTGGAGTTTATTGTGCCTGAGCATGTTGCAAAGACCTTCATAACATCATTCATAATATTTTCCTGTGAAAACAAACAAAGGATTACTCTGAATATACGAGACATTAGCCTCCGCTGTAATAATCTGCTCCACTCACTTTTCACAGTCCTCTACAGGTGGTGTTTTGGCTGATGCAGTGATTTCCTCCCCAGGCTCGTGGCCTTTTCCATTAGGAATAGCATTTACCTCCGCTTGGGAAGTCTCCACAGTCTCAGTTGGTTTATCCTCGCTCATATTTGCTCAGATGAATAATGATCGGTCTGTAGAATAGTGCTTGAGTCCGTCTGGATGTTATAGAGCAGTCTTTTTTACCCTATCGGTATCTGTGGGAGAAAAAAAAGAAAATTTGTAATTATTAGAGATGAGGTTAACACAAGCTTCACGTGAACATGGACATCTTTAGAGTACCATAAAAACAACAATTACAAAAAGTAGGATAATCAAATATATATATCTAACTAGACTGAAACAAAGACAGGGACAAAATCTTCAGGATTTCTAGAATAGCCTGTCAATTACCTTAAATAACTACAGAATAACAGTCATAACTACAGAACTCTGAGAATGAAAAAAGTCAAAATAAGACAGAAAAAATATGAGAATACATTTTAAAAATGACTGAGAGACAAATCTATTAAAGAAATCAAGTGGTAAAAGACGTGAAAATAATCTGAGTTTTTTTATGGCAGATGAGCTGTACATAATTGAAAGTTCGAGAGACTGTAAGATCAGGTTACATTTACTCCTGTATCTTTCAACAAGTACACAGTAACTCCAAACCAAAAAAATGAACTGACAGAGAAAAGATGTTTTGGCAAACCCCATGAATAATTGACACATTAACTGACAGGTCTCCCTTCAGAGGAAACAGAGCTTTTATTTTTGCCATGGACACAGTAAACTTTGCTGCAGGCCTCCATTTCCTGAGTATCCTGTTGTGTTGTATTAGCTGACCAGCTGGTTTGTGGGGCCCAGAAGGCCCCCCTGTGACATGTTTCTCCTACATGCTGTTGACTGAAGGCCCCCTATCTGGCTAGCCCTGAATGATCTCCTTTGCTCTGCAGCATAAACAGCAGCAATAATGGTGACCATGTTGGGATCTATAAAGGAGGAACACACAAATGGTCGAACACCCAGTATTGAGATAAAGAGAGAAGAACCAGCCAGGACCAGCCTCAGACCAGTTCTAGCTGTCTTTGTACCTCCATTTCTCTGCTTGTCACTTTTCTCTTGGTTTCCTCTTTTATTGAGGGGGTTCAGTATCCCCACAATGCTCAGGGTTTTTTCTTTACTACCAAAGCTGGCAGCAACTCAGGTGCCTTTGTTTCCCTCTTGCCACTTCCGCCTCACAGTCTGCTATTTTAAAGGAAGCTTTTTTCAGGAAAATATTTTAACGCATAAAAATACAGTGTTAGGTGAAAATCACCTGGCAGCGTTCTGAACATACCAACCACATCACAGAGGGCTTCACTGCACAGCCAGGCTCTCAGTGTCCGTGGCTAAAGCCGGGCAACGTGGTTGGGCAGCAAAGCACACTGCACAATGGCATATGTTGTGCGGTTTCCTGGGAACCGTTTTGGGAACAGTGGTACTATTGTGCCAGCCATCATTATACTGCCCGGGCCCCCTTGGCAGTAGTTCGCCGGGCCACTCGAGAGGCTGAAAAGGTATTTCACTCTCTAATTGAAAAGACGCCACCTTGAATTCAACAAATGCCAGTATCCTGCATGCATGCCCAGTTGTGGCAGAGCTGCTGACGACGGTGATGGCAGAGGCAAGGCCAGCCTCGTGGGACAAATCACTGCACAGAACCATCTGAGAGTTTACAAATCACCAAGAGGTTGGAGTAGCCTTTGAAGGACAGCACACGATGGGCTGCCCAGTTAAAAGAAGGTCCTCCTCAATGGCCCTGAGCAAAGGACCTTGAAACAGCAGACATGACTGGCCTGAGTTGTATCCTCTACATTCATTATGTCCAGCAGAAAAGGAGGTACATAACAATTGAGTGAAAATGGACTTATTTGGTCTAGACACTTTTTTCATAGGGGACTTTTGCAGAATTTGGAACATATGAGGGTGAGCAAGAAGTAGCACACATGCTGTGGAGAAAATATCCTTTCAGAGGAATGATATGGCTTGATAACATATTCACACTTGAAGAATTATTTAACTGAAGATCCAAATTCTTACTTGTAATTCAGACCATAAACATCACAGACATCAGCAATCTGTAACATGATATGTCTAGTAGTCGTCTAATAGTCACAGTCAAGGTCGAGCTTATGTTTTTATATTTGTTTTCAATTGAACCTGGACTCACCAACTTGTTTGAGTAATTATAGTCAGGTTATGCCTGTAAGGTCATAAGGTCATAAATCACACAGTATGATGTAAAGAGATGGGCACATGTAATGAGTTTAAAACCCACATCACTTGCTGAGATTTAAGCATTAAAAGCTAAAGGGTACGACCAATAGTCCGCTGATTTTTAGGTTTTTGTTTCAGCTGTGCAGTAGCTCCTCCCAGATGGGTTTATTTTCTGTCAATTTCAAACTCATCAGTGACTGTGCCATTGCCCATTCAGGATTGGTTCGTTCTCCTCCAGGAAGTCTCAGCTGCACCAATCCAGAAACCGGCCAAGGACATATAAACCCAATTATTCCCAGCTAAGAGGACTATGGTAACAGCTGACACCAGGGTGTCTCTCTTTTTGGAGACACTCTGAAACTTTGGCAGCATTTACATGAGGATTTGAGCGAGAACCTTGAGACCCCATTGGTTGAGTCTTTGTTAAGTTTAGGATGTTAATTCAGAGTATGTTGTCTTAGAGTTGACTTGGGCTATGGTTAATGTGTTCATTGAACCATAGCTGCTCCTCTGAATTGTTGTTTTTATGTTCATTGCTTTGTGTCACCTCCCTTTTTCCACTAGACAACTGTGGGCGTAACGCTAAACACTGTGGTTTGCTTTAAATACTCCTAATCACACTATGCATCACATGTTGGAGGTGATAAATCTGGCCCCATAAAAAAACTGTGGTGGCAGGAAAGAGACCAACTGAAATACATACGTGGCGGGTATTCATGCTCATCTTGGTTTTGTGCCCATTGCACAACTGCATTGTAACACAGTTGTCAAGTCAGAGTCATTGCAAAAAAAACAAAAATGATTATAATTAGTTCAAATTTACGGCTAGAATATCCCAGAAAAGATGTACTGAAGCAGGGTTGTGTGGATGAACTGAAGCACCCTGTTGTCTCTAGACACTATGTCATGCAAAATGTGCCAGAGAGAGTAAACACTGCGTTCTCTCACATCTTAACATTTCACGTCCAAGACAGCAAAAGCAGAATGTTTCTATTTGGTCATTATTAGTGTCAAGAATACGAACAGATTGAAAGAAAGCTAGTCTGTCTTCTTCTTGAGTCTAATTTTCTCAATTGAACATTATGTTCCAGAATCCAAATCTTCAAGCAAAGACCTATAAGTGCTCATAGAAATATGAGCAGTTTTGTAAAGTCTTAGTAAAAACAGACAGGAAAAAAATATACGTCTAAACAACAGAAGGAGCAGATGTTAAAAAAAGGAAGATTATCTTTACAAATCTAGTGTCCCTCACTCTTATCCAAACTTCCAAATCCTACGCAGGACTTAATGCCACATTGTGATGATCTTAGTGGGAGTAAATTAAACTTTTCACAGCAACAGCAGAGGCTATGTTTATTCAAGTCCCCATCCAAAACATCACATCCGTTTGCCAGCAGAAAGGGAATGTGTGTGGCTCAGTTCTCTGGCCCTGACGTAAGCGGCTCTGCAGAGACGTCATCCCACTAGTAGAGAACCAGAGCCAGCCAGCTTCTCTCATTGTCATTCCTGAACCGAAACCCCAACCGAATAGCATCGCTAGTTTATATTCATCCTCAGTTGCTGCTTTAGTTCTTTGATACTGTAATTAAATGTGTACCACTGTGTGGAGGAGGGGTATGTAGCTTATGTAATACAGTAAGTAATCTGTAATACTGATTTCTCTGCCTCCACTTGATGACATTTCAACAGGCTTGTGGTCTTAAAAGCTTTCCTAATTGAGTCACCAGTGTGATTTTGATACTCTGACCTGCATGTTACAATCACTGTCAATTTAGTCACTGTTGAATTTCTCCGTCATACATATATATATATATTTATATATATAAAAATGTGTATAAATCCAAAAGTCAGAGGTTCAATCTAATCATTTCATCTTTTAAGACAGACATTTAAGGGCTGATCAAGACTTTCCTCACTCGCTTCATAGGCACAATTTAACGCAATTTCCTCATCCTTCCTCTCTGTACATGAATGAAAAGAGCTTTCCGGTCGCATTAGAGATTACACATGCCCATGTTTTCACTGATGAGCAGCTAATAAGTCCATACGGGGACATTTTATTGTGAATGTTCAAACAGGGGAACTCTGACAATCAGGATGATAGAAGAGATCAGATTAAGGTCCATCTCTCCGAAGCCGGAAATAAGGATCAAAACGCTCTCAGGTCACTTCATGTACTACTCTGTGTAAAAATAGCTACAGTGGAGTGAAAAGCCTCAGAGTAATGTCCCACACAAAGCTGTTTTTGAGTGCTTTTTACAAGTGTAACTGAACACAGCATCTGCCTGAAATAAGCAGTAAACACTATCCAAATACACTAAGCAACCATCTGCCTGTGTCCTGGTTCTTCACACTAGAGTGAACAGACACGTACAAACACATGAGGACATGCACTCGCACACACAGACATATGCCACGCTGTTGGTAAATGAATGAGACCCTTTAAACATCCACAGCCAGAAAACAGATCTGTGAACTTTAAGTCAAAGAGAGATTGTCATGTCATCAGACATCTTTGGAGCAAAAAGTAGAAGACATTGAACGTGTTATCTAGCTGAGTTGGGGAAACCAAAGCCTGTGCTCTGCCAACTTCATCAAAAATCTTTTAAAATAATGTTTCAAGTGATTGTTGATTGTTCAGACTCCGAAAGTGTTCTAATCATTTATGAATGGCCACAACTTCTGTTTCTTAACATATGGGATAAAGAAATAACAATTCAGATTTTGTGTCTGTTACTATGTATGTAGCTGTAGCTGTTTGGTCTCCAGGGTTCTTTAACTTCCTGCCTGATACATCTATTTAGGGGTGCCACCTGACAGCGTATTTCAGAAAAAAACAAATACTTTCAGTCACAGTCTGTCCTTGGGTCAATTTAGGGACACCAATTAACCACCTAACCAATCTCTGGATGGAAGCCAGGGTACCCCTTTAAAATACACAAATAAACAGGGAGAATGAA